AACCATTCTTTCATATGTAGGCCTACCAGCTTTCTCTCGCTAGATTTGAAGGTGCTAGAATTTATGCGTACTAGTACAGCACCAACCCTGGCGTGCAAGCCGTACTAGTACGGCACCAACCCTGAAAGGGTTAATAGCAAATTATAACCAGCTGACTGTACCATTAATAGTGACAGGAAGAAGGTAGTGTAAGTACACATGCTCTTAGTATTTTTCATAAACAAAGTCAAGACAGAAGGATGTTCATACAAAGACAAGAGTTGCTGTCAGACAAGTCTTTATATATAAAAAAAAAAGTCCTGCATTTCCCCTTCCTTCTCCCCCCCCCCCCCCAAAAAAAAAAAAAAAATATTGGGATAAGAGGCATTACTGTATTGTCAGATGGTGTCATAAACACACCGTGGGTGGAATGACCCCTCCCTAGAAATGAGGTTATTCCACCAGACCATTTACTATCTTTGTACATAATTAATGCCTTTACTAAATGCCAACCTTTTCTTTAACATACTGGCCATCTCCCACTGAAGTAGAGTAGCCTGAGAAAGAAGAAACATCTCCAGTATAATTCCTCTATCACTGTCTTTGCAAGGTGTTACCGACATTACATCTCTGACATGCCTCCAAACTGCTGTATCTCCACCTCTCCTTCAGAGTGCAGGTACTGTACTTCCCACTTGAGGCCTGGAGGTTTGAAATACAGTGCCTGCATTCTGGAAGAGGGGTGGGGATGTTGTAGTTTGGAGGGGCATCTGAGCCATAATGTTGGCACACCTCTGGTAAAAGTGATAGTGATGGAGAAAGTATTTCTTCTTTCTCGGGTCACCCTACCTCTGTGAGAGATGGTCAGTGTATTAAAAAATTTGTATTTAGTAAAGGCATTACTAATGTACAAAGACAGAGTAAAATCTGGTGGAATGATCCCTCCCCCTAGCTTCTCTAATTAAAAATAGGGTACAGATAACTATAGGTCTTAATATAACAACACATCTTTTTGTTAGTCATACATTCCAGTAGTTTAAAAATACAATTGGCAAGTGTGATGGGTCTGGTCACACCCTTACAGTGGTACAGTAGTCAGGCCAGATAACTTTGAAGACTCTTAATAGGAAGGAAGTCGGTTAAGGATATATTGGAGCATTGGAGCATGTATAACACCTGTCCTGGATGCTGTAGGCTGATATCTTGAGGATTTCGATGCGAGTTCAAAGAGTTTAAATGAAACATTAAAGGATTCATCAGAATGGAAAATGCAGTGGAGCAGATTTTCCTAAGAACTTAGTCATGAGGCAAATGTACCCCTTTGTTATGATCAAAAGTTGAATCGGGTTAGCATTTGCCTGTTAGTTTTCCATATTGCACTTGTGGAGTTAGTGGCAGTGAGTGCAAAGTATGTTTAGCTATCTTTATGACACAATATGCATGATCCCTTTCTTGACGTAAATATACACTGCTGTACTGACAAGTAGTAAGAATGCTGAAATGTGGCAACTTCTAAGGGCCACACTTGTGGAAATGCTTACTTGAGATTCATTGAATAGTAGTAGTGGCTCCAAAGAAAAAGGAAGTAAGAGAAAATAGAATAACATCACTGGATATAAGATGTCATTATCTAGGTAAGAGAGGCTCTAAATGGGTTGAAGGTCTTGTTTAACATAAGAGTTGCAAGAAGACCTATGCCAATAAAAAACAAGAAAGCAGTTAACAGATCCTGAAAGCAGTAGTGTTTTGGATTACAAGGGCAGTATGAGCCTGTGAGTTAAGACTGAAAAGATCAAACATAAGGAAAGTTCGTTGGATTGAGAAGTTAAAATCAGAGGCAGAGTATACCACTTTATACCTAGAAAAATGTGGGGTGAATGAACCTCCCACTATATTAAAAGGAACTAAAGAGCCCATGGAGTGCTGATTAGACACAAAGGTCATTAAGTAATTGGAAAGAAGCTCTGCAGAGTATAAAAAAAAAAAATGGGAAGAGGCACATAGGGGTAGCAAAGACAAGTACAATACTGTAGTGTTACCTTGTACTCCAAATGGTGGATGCTGTATAGAACAGGGGAAAGATTGGGTAAGGTGACTGAGAGAGAAGGGGAAGGCATGGGTAGATTAATTTTAAGAAAAACTACACATAATTTTATGGCTACCCCTGACATTTTAAAGGGTTAGTTTGATGGTTTAAACACAAAGGTATTGCTGCATTAAATGTGAATTGATTTTTAAATTTCCTTTTAGCAGTTTCTGAAGTTTGTACACAGCACTGCTACCATCACTTAAGATGTTGCAGTATTTCAGTTAAGGTGATGTGGGTGGCAAGAGAAGAAAATGAGAATGAAAGTGAGAGAGGATGAGCAAGAGAGAATGAGAATGGTAGATTCTGAGGGAACTAGAATGAAAGACCAGATTCATTAGAAATGGGTAAAAGTGAACAAGACAAGGGATTCAGGGTGATGGTGTGAGAGGAAAGAGATGAGTGATGAATGACAAGAAAGTTTAATGGATGGTGATGTAGACAATGGAAAAGGTAGGCTTGTGGTATAATTATTAAGAAAGTGTAGTTGTAGAACCTGGTTTAGGTATGGGTGATGTAGTTCAGGGATGCCTTTCCTATCTAATAGGGTCTTTTCTTGGTTTTCTAAATCCTCGCAAGAAATATTATGGCAAAACCCTAAACATTTCTTTGGTTTTCCTTTTTGTCCTAATAAATTTATGGTTTTCTAAATCCTCTCAAGAAATATTATGGCAAAACTCTAAACATTTCTTTGGTTTTCCTTTTTGTCCTAATAAATTTAGTTGCTTGCATGGAAAGTACACCTTGTATGGAAAACTTTCTGATTACAAGTTATCTAACTAGCATTCTGATCTGTTCACTTGAAGCTGTTTCTCATCTCTAGTTTAGTTAACATATTTAAATTATGTTTCCGTGTTAGTTCCTTGCTTTCCAAGGTGCCATATTTGGAGGTCTAGAACTCCCAAGATAAGGTCACGGATCACTTTTCAAGTAACTTCCATTCCTTATAAATTTATGGTAACACACTTGGTATTATTTTTCTCTTATTCCATGTTCATTCTTATTTTATTTGGCTTGTATAATATTTAGGCTTTGTTGTTTAACCTGCATATGGTTTTCTCTCATTTCCATACCAAGGGCCTCGATACTCCTTACCAGGACTTTCTTCGCATCACTAATTTATTAATTTTGTTGCATTTCTCTGGTGCACGTTACCAAATTGGCTAATGTATGGTATCGTCATTTTTCTGCAAGCAGTTGCCATCCCCCTTCCCACTTTGATGTTGAAATCTCCTTCCAGCCTCACTACTGAAGTCACAGGTGATCCATAGCTCACTGGGAAGTGTTCAGTACACAACTGAGAGGTCCCAGGTTTGATCACAAGTTGGCAAGTTTCCTGAACATCCCTGCTGCCCCTGCTTATTTAGTAGTAAAAATAGATACCTAAGTGTTGTGGGTCACATCTTGGCTAAAACAGTACATTGAGAAACAGTCCTGTCAGAAGTCATATTCTCTCCAAAAATGTCAGTGTGTAAGAAAACTCCAGATGTGCTGGAAGTACTGTATTAAAGTGCTGCACAAAGCAGTGTATCTAAAGAGAGTTTAAAAAATGAAACCCCCCTTCCCTCCCTAAATCTAGCCTGACTGTTTAAGGACAACTCCTCTTCCCTGTCTCCTTCCTCTCCTACATTCTACTTGCTTGTATTAAAAGAAAATTTAGGTCGTTTCTGACCATTTTTTTTTCATGCTGGTCTGTCAGTGAATACTCAAGGGTAGCTACTCTCTCTCTCTCCTGCTGCTTTCTCAAGAATGGGTAAGCTTAGGAACTGTCTGGCAACTGCTGGCACTCTTCTGCTGTTGGTCTGATTTTTGTGCCTGATGTGGAATTCTCACATCTGTTTAGTGATTTAAGGTTCCTAAGAATTTTTTTTAATGTACTTTTTCTTTTTACCTAAGGGATCAAATGAATAAACAGTGTAGTACTTGGTGTACATATTTTTGTTTTGTAGTTTAAGTGACACCTTACACATTAATTAGATGAGCAGATCAGCTTGCAGAATTTCTTAGCACAAATTTCATAGTGATGGAGCTTTTAATATATGAAGTTGTATGCATGGTTAATGACTGACATCACAGGGTTCTAATAGTGGGTGTGGCATCCTGCTTTCAACAAGGCCAAAATATAAATGATTGAAAAAGACATATCTCCTCTGTAAACTGGTAAGCAAATGTTAGTGCTTAATATTCAATTTCATTATTCATTGCAACTTCTAGATAGAAAAAAATGGTGTTACCAATAGCAAGAGTAAACATAACATCTTAAATACAGGTTTTAAAACATTGCCTTAAAAACAGAGAATTATATGGAAAGATTTTTAAGAAATGAGTAAAATGTTTTTCTTATCTATTTTTCTTTCATATATAACACTGAAGCAGATACAATAATTTGGAGTTTTTTTTTTTTTTTGTCCTTGCTGTTGGCAAAGCCTCACATATACAGTACTCGGAAATTTAATGTATAATGATTGCACAATATTAGATACAGTGTTGCGACAAGAGTCTGACTGGGCAATTAGAATGCGCTTCAAACATTACATACTAATATTACATAAGGCACGTTAAGTGCTACTACTGTAGCTGTACATTTAGGTAGTAGCACAACAATCACTATTGGAGAGCATGTGGCAAAAACAACATAGTTGATGAGGGATAATTTGCTGGTCCTTTTATTTTTATATTTGGTTTCTGGTGCATTTGCATTTGATCTTTACACCATAAGAAAGATGGACTTGATAACGTGTAGATCTTTCTCATAAAGGGCTTTTATATCACTTTTCTCATAAAAGGTTATCAGTGTTAACACTTGCTGTGATTACAATTAAACAGTACATTTTAACAACTAAAATTATTCTTGTTTATGTAATATGTCATTTCTAAGTAAAGCAAGGACACAAGAGCTTCAAACCTCACTTGTGTTTTAACCCTGAAGCTTTGCTTTTTCTAATACAGTAACTGAAAACTGATGCTTTTAAGTTCTGGCACGGCATTCTGTCATCCTTGTGATGAGGTTGGTGGACTTGCGGCATGTTGCACTGTAGTTGCTTAAGCTTACTAGCCCCTGCCCCCTCCCCCGTGTGTGGGTGTGCTGTGCATTGACAGATTGAGAAGCTCCCACAACCTCCACTACCCCCTGAGGGTGGCATACTGTCTCCACAGAAGCCAGTGAATCTTCTTCCAGAGGTGCCCATGCAACAGACAAAGCAAATTGACCGAGAGAGAAACTAAAGATTGTGAAGTTATAGGTATGTAAATAGTTTAGACAAATCACTAAAGGTTTGTTGATATATTGAGTTAAAACATCAAATCAGGAGACTTGATTGGTTCACAATTTTTCTAAAGACTTGCTTCAATTCTGACAGGAAATATGTAGAACACAATTGACCTCATTGGCCCCTGTGCCCCCTTGATATTTTTCTTAAGAGTTTATTTTGTCTCTTGTTATATTTCTGAAGGATCTCCTTGCAGCAAAACATTGTGAACAGTCTCCTGGTTTTATGTTTAAACTTTTCATGTAAATGTTTCTCTTAGTCTCTGTACTGGAAAGTGTTAAAAATGGGTATTTATGCACAGTACAGTATGCTTAATTTAAAAATGCAATAATTTTATTTTAATTAATTTATTCTCTAACACATCTTGTATTTCCAGAACGTTTGATCAAGACATATTTTTACATTGTGCGTAAAAGTATCCAGGACAAAGTGCCTAAGGCTGTTATGCACTTTTTGGTTAATCATGTCAAGGACAATCTTCAGTCAGAACTCGTCAAGCATTTGTATCGCACAGATGAGATTGATAATTTCCTCTCAGAATCCCCTGAGATTGCTCAGCGTCGGAAGGAAGCTGCAGAAATGCTAAAGGTACAGTATTAGAGTATTTATGTCTAGTTTAGAAGAGGAGTAGACATGTTTAATATTTCCCTTCAACATGATAGTTTTATTATATTTCAGCAACCTGGTATGCTCATTGCTTAAACCTACTTGATGTGAATTTGGATTCCTGCCAACAGTTATAACCTTCACTTGCTTCTTTCCTTACATGAACACTTCACAACTTGCTTCTCTACTTTTTTTTTTTCTTCTTTTCCTTAACCCCTTGACTGTTGAAACCCCTAATCCTGAAGCGTCTCCTGGTGTCGAAAAATATTCGGGAAAAAAAAAATTCTTATAAAAATGTTAAGATTATTTTTCTGATTGTTTTAGTCTCAAAAAATTTTTTTGCCATCAGTACTTGTCATGTAGGGGGGTAATGATTAGGGGAATATGGGGATAAGAGGAGGGAGTCAGTAGGTAGGTGACAGGCGAGGCAGTAGGAGGGATGAGTGCAGAGGTTGGTAGGTAATGTGAGGTCACTGGTGACTACACCTCCACCTCTCATTACTCTACCCACCACACTACTCACCCTCTCACTACTTGAAATAAAAATAAATGAGTAAATAACGGGGACAGTGAATATTACTATTCTACTCAAACACAGTTTATTATTAAGTCCTTGTACAATAATATATTTGGGAACAGGAGAACATTATTGTGGTTTAGATAAATGGGGTGGTACCACATAAACAGTGAGACCGGGAACACAATTAGCTTGGCGAAACAGAATATAACTTACAATATAGTTCAGAGGACAGTTCACTACAGGAACTAAGCCACAGGTCCCAAGACGAGTACTGCGCCAAGCCAGTACTCTGCCCAATGTCTCCAACAGTCTCCTCCAGAGACTTCAGCAGCCTTCTCCCAAGCTCTGCCCCCCAGCAGCAGCTCCGCTCGAAGTCTCTCTGCTCAGAGCTCTGCACCCAGGCCAGAGCTCCGCATGAATCTCTCCTGCTCAGCTGTTCCTTGGGCTTATATTGTCCCGAGAGCAATCCCCACAATGAGGTGTGCACACGTGGTGTTGATCTGATGCTGAGGTCTGACGCCGTCCAGAACAAAAGACCTCAGTCTTAAGCCAAAAAGGCGTGGCTGACAGATGTTTGCCAAGGCAAGGTGTGACCATACAATTGGTTAAATTAAGTCTACCCAGAGACCTCACAAGCCCAGCTGAACTACATCACATACTACCGAGATATGGAGGCATGAAGTTGGCAGAAAATGAGCCGTGTATGGCAACAGATGCGACTGCTGCTCACCCGGTAAACTTTGGCTTACTTGTATTTGAAGGTTTCTTTTTTTTTTTTTTTTTTTTTTCACTATTTTATTTTTTCACATAACTTATGTGGCCTGTGAGACCAAAGTATGGTGCAATGTTTATATATACATTTGTTGAATGTAACACAATTATACCTAAAACACTAGTATCATCATATTGTTTACAAAACTTGTTTACACAAACAATATAAAAAATTGTTCTCTAATATATATATATATATACAAATGTACAATCACTGGACACTTTTCTAGAACTGCTGCAGCTTGTGGAATTCTTTGAAACATGGGTGTATGCACAATGGTGTTTTACACTCCTCACACATTAAAACGAGTGTCTCTGCATTTTTGTGGGCATTTTTTGGTATGTGCACAGACATAACACCTCTTCTGAGCATTTTTCTTGAAAGCAGTAGCAGGCAGTGGTATGGGGTAGTGATCACCAGGCCTCAGACGAGATGGCATGTGTTGGTAATTTCGTGGGCGCTGGTCTATTGCAAGTGTTTTTCCTTGGTACTTTAATATTATTTGTCTGATAACCGACAAAATTCACCATATTTGGGTTTATTGTTGATCTTCAACTTATACATATTATAAGCATTCAGCGTGGAAATATCAAGAAGATGGAAGAGTTTTATGTACCACTTATAACTCTTGCGAACACAATCAGCAAACCCAATCTGCATGTCACATTTGTCCACTAACCGCATATTGAGGTTGTAATCCATCACAGCTGCAGGTTTTACAATGGGTTCATTAGTCTCTCTATTCTGCTTGCCCTGTCTACCATTTCGTGTCTGTGAACTGATGTCAACAGTGTGACATCACGTTTGTCATGCCACCGAAATGTCACGATGTCATTAGCAGCAAACACCTGAACATCACCTCTACGAGTGCCAGAGTCGAACCTGGGCATATGTTTACGATTTCCACTCACTGTGCCACACGCATCTGTCATGTTCACTCGCAAGAAATCACTAAGTAAAGGGCTTGTGTACCAGTTATAAAATATGCCCCTTTCCAAGATATGGTTCCATCATTGTTCTAACCACATCACCAGAGATACCCTGTAACTTCCTGGTATCTTGCAATGTTTTACTGCCAGCCTACACAATTACAGTGGCCCCCCGCATAGCGACCTTAATCCGTGCAAGAGGGCTGGCTGTTATGCGAAATGTTCGGTATGTGAATGAATTTTCCCCATAAGAAATAATGGAAATAAAATTAATCCGTGCAAGACACCCAAAAGTATGAAAAAAAATTCTTTTTACCACATGAAATGTTAATTTTAGTACACACAAACTGAAAAAGGCATGCACAATTACATGACACTTACTTTTATTGAAGATCTGGTGATGATTGATGGGATGGGAGGAGGGGAGAGAGAGTGTTAGTGTTTAGAAGGGGAATCCCCTTCCATTAAGACTTGAGGTGTCGAGTCCTTTTCTGGGGTTACTTCCCTTCTTCTTTTAATGCCACTAGGACCAGCTTCAGAGTCACTGGACTTCTTTCGCACAACATATCTGTCCATAGTGGCCTGTACCTCTCGTTCCTTTATGATTTGTCTAAAGTGGGTTCACAACATTGTCATTGTAACAGTCACCAGCACAGCTTGCAATAGCTGTGTGAGGGTGATTTTCATCAAAAAAGGTTTGCACTTCAAGCCATTTTGCACACATTTTCCTTAATCTTTGAAGTAGGCAATTCCTTCAATTTCTCTCTCCCCTCCTTTGAACCAGTTTCCCCAGGTCTGGCCTCTTGCTCTTGAAGTTGATCTATCAGCTCATCAGTGGTTAGTTCTTCATTGTCCTCCTCCACCAACTCTTCCACATCCTCCCCACTAACCTCCAACCCCAAGGACTTCCCCAATGCCACAATTGATTCCTCAACTGGTATACTCCTCTCAGGGTTAGCCTCAAACCCTTCAAAATCCCTTTTGTCTACACATTCTGGCCACAGTTTCTTCCAAGCAGAGTTCAAGGTCTTCTTAGTCACTCCCTCCCAAGCCTTACCTATAAGGTTTATACAATTGAGGATATTAAAGTGATCTCTCCAAAACTCTCTTAGAGTCAGTTGAGTTTCTGAGGTCACTACAAAGCACCTTTCAAACAGAGCTTTTGTGTACAGTTTTTTGAAGTTTGCAATAACCTGCTGGTCCATGGGCTGCAGGAGAGGAGTGGTATTAGGAGGCAAAAACTTCACCTTAATGAAGCTCATGTCCCCATAAAGTCGCTCTGCCACGTCTGTAGGATGACCAGGGGCATTGTCTAACACCAGGAGGCACTTAAGTTCTAATTTCTTTTCAGTTAGGTAATCTTTGACATTGGGGGCAAATGCATGGTGTAACCAGTTATAGAAAAAGTCCCTAGTGACCCATGCCTTACTGTTTGATCTCCACAGCACACACAAATTATCCTTGAGGACATTCTTTTGCCTGAACGCTCTGGGAGTTTCAGAGTGATACACTAATAAAGGCTTAACTTTGCAATCACCACTAGCATTGGCACACATCAAAAAGTAAGCCTGTCTTTCATAGGCTTATGTCCTGGGAGTGCCTTTTCCTCCTGAGTAATGTAGGTCCTGCTTGGCATTTTCTTCCAGAACAGGCCTGTTTCATCACAATTAAACACTTGTTCAGGTTTCAGTCCTTCAGTTTCTATGTACTCCTTGAATTCCTGCACATATTTTTCAGCCGCTTTGTGGTCCGAACTGGCAGCCTCACCATGCCGTATCACACTATGTATGCCACTATGCTTCTTAAATCTCTCAAACCAACCTTTGCTGGCCTTAAATTCACTCACATCATCACTAGTTGCAGGCCTTTTTTTAATTAAATCCTCATGCAACTTCCTAGCCTTTTCGCTTATGATCGCTTGAGAGACGCTATCTCCTGCTAGCTGTTTTTCATTTATCCACACCAATAAGAGTCTCTCAACTCTTCCATCACTTGCGATCTTTGTTTCGAAAACACAGTTAAACCTTTGGCAAGAACAGCTTTCCTTGATTGCCTTTCTGTTGCCCACAATAGTAGAGATGGTTGATTTGGGTTTCTTGTACAACCTGACCAGGTCGGTGATACGCACTCCACTTTCATACTTATCAATGATCTCTTTCTTCCCATCTCTATTGGAATTCTAACCCTTATTGCTGTAGGGTTGGAACTAGAAGCTTTCTTGGGGCCCATGGTCACTTATTTTCCAGAAACAGCACCGAAAACACTGTAATAATACGAAATATTCCGATTGTATGCTTGAATGTTACCGCGGAGGCTGGCTGGTAAACAATGCCACCGGCGGAACATATGAGGCTGGCTCAGGCCGCACATTGGACGCGTCTCGGACGAAGGGCGCTGAGCGGGTTTTTGGGCGGTATGCGGGGCAAAATTTTAGCGATCAAAGCGTCCGGTATGCGGATTGTCCGTTATGCAAGGCGTCCGGTATGCGGGGGTCCACTGTATATCCAAAACCAGACCACTTTTTCAATCACACAGTACAAATAACTTTATACCAAACCGTTTCCTCTTGCTTGGTATATACTGCTTGAATGAGAATCTGCCTTTGAACAAGAAGACTCATCAATAACAAGCCTCAGGGATAAAAATACATACAGCACTTTTATTTCAGGTACATAAACACATTTCTGATCTTATATAACCTGTCTTTTCTGTCAGGCCTTGTTTTGCCTGAGAAGTGTAGCATACGTAACAGTAGCACAAA